AACTTTGAAACAAGTTTTCAAACATATGTCAATCACTCCTGTTAGGTCGGATGGATGCGCGCATAGGGTCTTAATGGGAGAGGAAACCAATGCAAAGTGCCAGGAGAAAACCAACGTGGTCGGGCAGATTACCTAATACTTTTTCATGTTCGATCAGAAATCGAAACCAAACCGTCTTGGTGAAATGCGATTGCGTTATCCACTGCACCAACGACCACCCAACTTAAATTCAGTTAACATAGATATAAGTTAAAGGCTATGAAAAAACCCTTTTATTATCAGATAAAAAGAACAACGTAGAACGTCAATTAATTGCTGTACAGGTAAGGGTTTAACGAATCTGTTTATTAGTTTCGTATGAGCTACGGTATTGCATGGCTTTATGGCATCTCAGAACCCCTGCAGATGTACACACCTCAAGTTACAATTTCTCGAAAGAGAAGGTACACCAAAACAATGTTATGTAAAGATTGCATTATAATAAAATGCCTGTATGACGCTCATATGATTTGCATAATATTTTGCAAGATTGAACGAAATTCATTCAGTAGTGTTTTTGGTAGTTTTTGACACTGATCGGAAGTTTCTTTCAAAGACAATAATTGCCTATTTGCCCATCATGGCTTGTGGAATGTTCCTTTTTTGTATGTGTCCCTGGAAGTTGGTACTGTCCTATATGTCAACGACTGTGTGTTCCGAAAGTGGTTCTTTACGATGACGCTGATGTATAATTGTTTTCTATGTTACTTTAGAAAACGATATTAATCTGCAAGTAAGATGGTATTGATTGTTCAATATTCGATTGTATGTAATAGAATTTCATCTAGTATTTAATATACAATTATCTCCTTTTGTCTGTTTTGTCTAGGTTATTCTCCTTTACGACTGTTATATGAATTGAGAGAATCGTGGGATCGTCGTATTCGAGGCAGATTATAATAGTCGTGTTTGGACGCCATAATCCAGCAATATAACAACGCGAGAAGTAATTGATATTCGTTGAACGAAAAATAAAACATCGCCAATTTAATCACTGAAAAAGTATTTTAATTTAAAATGTATACATGTGATGACAATCAAAACTTACATTATACACTTATCTTTCAACATGTTATAATGTGTAGTGTATTTGATAAAATAAACCGTTTTGTATACAATGACTACTTTTGATCACATCTATTGCTTACAAAGATTGATATATTCAGGTTTGATGTAAAACATCTAATTAAACATAAATATTGTATGTAAAAAAACTTAGAACAAGGAACCTTCGAGAAATTTATCATAGCTCCTTAAAAATATAAATTGGTACATGCATAAGTTGTTTCATATGTGTTCCCCTCATCCAAGAGGCCTCAATGCCAGACGTAACATATGGTACTAATAGTGTGATGTTAAATTCTTGGTTGATCACTTACAAAGTGGTTGCAAAAATATTCAGCCTGCCATAACACCACACATTACACACAGCCGCGCCACCTTTTATTGTCTTTTTAGTAATTAAACGGTGCCGGTTTGTGTTATGCAATATTGCGCTCCATTTTTATGGTTTGTTTTGTCAAATACTATACAAATAGTACATATCAAATGATGTTAAAACAAATATGAAATTGGCGAATAGGTATTTAGTTAACGAAAGTTTGCAAGGAAGGATTATAGTACCTTTGCTAATCCCAATTTGTGTTGTGTGTTATCTTAAGCCACAGAATAATTCGTACATCATTAAAGTTTTGTTTTGCCAGACGTGTTTAAGCATTGCTTATTTCAATTTCCCAGGAACTGTTTGTCAGCATTAACATTTCTTTTTAACAACAAGCTTTCTGGCTGATATTTGGTAAAATTTCAATTATGAAACAGATAAAGTATCATGGATATTCTTTTTGCAGAAAAGTATACGCTAACTTCCATTAAATAAAATTTAAGCAGATTATCTAAAAATAATATGAATATTTTGTGGAGTTAGCGTGAGCCCGTCTAATTTAAATGGCATAAAGTTATCATATAGTCTAACAGCTTCATTTGTCAATTATCAATTTCGTGTATACGGTTGCTAAGAATCGCGATATTTTTGCTTGTGCTTATTTTCGAATCTATGCTTGTGGGTTTTGGTGTGCGATTGAGAGGACGCTTTTTCAATATTAATGGCATCTATCTGTTGTATAAAGGACTGGAGAATGATTTCAAATCGCGAAAGGTCTCGTCGCGAATGAAGGCAAAAACTTATTTCTCGCGAAAATAAAGTGAGTTTAGAAGTGAAGATATCTTCTGATAATTCACGTATGTATTGACGGTATAAGTGAAGAGATTAAGGTGAATTTTAGTCACTGTTATTGACACAGGATTTGCCCAGTACCCACAGAGAAACCCCATGGTTCTGGTACAGCATGTGAAACATTCGAGATATTATTTTAAAGCGGATGATCATTCGGTGGCATTTCTTCTTTCAACAGAATACAAGGAAGCATTCAACATGTATGATAAGGACCATGATGGCATCATCTCCACACAGAAGCTTGGGGCGGTACTGCGGGCTCTGGGACACAACCCTACCGAGATTGAGATGCAGGAAATGATTGACGAGATAGATTCTGAAGGTAAAAACCACACCACACGCCTACCTTGACGCAATATATTGTTTTTTTGTGGGTTTTCTTTTCATTTTTGTTGAGCGTTCAAAATAGCCTTCATTTTGGCTTTTTGGCGTGAGGTAAACTTGGTAGAGAACCTAACAATGATTATATTGTTGTTGTTTTTTTTTATCAGAGATTGTTTGAGGTATTGATTAAATTTATTTGCAGTAGCATATTTTTGTTGTATTACAATACATTCCGATATCAGTGTGTATTATTGGACTAGGACAATACATTTCTGAAAGAATAGGACAATACATTCCTGAAAGAAAAAAAGAGAATTATGACAATGTAGGTGATTGGTCCTTTGTTAACTCCATCATCTCTATAACGGTTTATTTGATTGTGTTATAAATTACATCATCTTTTTAGCAGTGTTCCTCATTGGTCTGAATTATTTACATAATCCCTTTAGCAGCGATTTACTTATTTAATTACCTCACTCTTGTAACAACAATCTGAGTTACGGTCCCATGACGCCATTTATTTAATATCCAACATTTGAGTCAGAATTATGTTACCATTTCAATCCGACTTAATGCTTAGGTTCAAATGAATGTAACGGTGGGATAACTATGAACGCCATGGTTTAATGTGTTTACGTCATCATTACTATTACAGTTCAACTATACCATCTGATACCCCTTACCCTTACTTTGATGGTCTATTCTTTTAACAGGAACATAGGTCATTAAGTAAACGTTCTATGCGGTTTAATCATTAAAAAATAGTTTAAAGACAATCTGAGTGTCATCGGCAATACTTATAATGCTGAAATGTATAATGCGAACTCGTTTCAGAGTCACGCGTGAAATACTTGTTGAATAAACATTGGATATAAAATAAAACTTAAGATTAACAATATTCCGTCCCTTTGACTTACATCAACACCTATTTGTAAGCTGTCCATGCTTTGTAACAGCGAGTGAAGATGATTGCTATCAGTCTGAATATTATATAAACGGCGTATACATGAATTTAATCCTACATTGAAATCCTATATCTGATGCATTGTCATTAAGATGGTAGATCTTTGCGCAATCGAAATGTAGGTTCTTATTCAAAACGTCCAAATATTCGTATAGGCGTTTTGTTTAGGATGAAAAGCTGTCAAATTCTTGTGTATATATAGATACCTATAAACTGTGTGGCTTTAATAATAACACGCAATATCGCGATGGCGTCCCTAGATAGGAGGCAGGTCTATATCATTTATGTTGTCTCTGACAGCAGCCAGATTCTCAGTTTCCCCGGTTGATGGGGGAGTTGATATCAAATGATGCGTTCAAGTATTGCGGTATTCTGCAACTATCTGAGGAGATATTCGCGGGGTTTTGGCGCTGGTTTGATAGTTAGTGTAGAAGCATATTATAAAAAGATTATAAAGCATTTAAAATGTCAAATCATAATAACATGGATTCAAATATCTGCAAAAAACTTACCAGTTGATAGGGGTTTGTATTACTGGCAGGCTTTTAAACAACACCATTCCTGGAGCCAACTTAATACTGCCAAAATGTTTCCAGCCTATCTGATGTGTTTCAAGTATGCAGGCTCTAAATTTAGAACGGGCGATATTTTGTTTATGAATTATAAATGCAAGCATAGCTGATACCAGATAAGCATGCCTGTTGCAGGTCGTTAAGTTCGCGGCAATCGTGATACAGTCCGAGGGTATGAGTTTAACTGTGCTTTTAACATTCCTAATCAATAATAATGTTGCCTTATTTTCTTAAACAAATAATTAACTTACTTTTTTTCTTTTTTCTTCTCCCTTTTTTGACGGTTTAAAACATATTTCTCTGCATAAAATAATCTGTCTTTTTAACATTTAGAAATGTCAAGGAAAAACGTCAATGTGAAAACAGAAAAGACAAGTATATTTCGAACCTTAGTGAATAAGTCTTTAAGCGATTTTAAGGATATTTATTGTCAGAATCTCATTCAGGTATTAAACATTTTCACGACCTGGCTCTGTTTAGGATTTAGATAATTGTGTTTTATGAAAGCTTCGTTTTGACGATGTTTCGGAAATGTTTTTGATGATCTCAACTCATGTTTGCATTTAATCCAGATGGGGATTATCAATTTTAATATCAATATCTATCATGTGTCAATTACATGGCATAATTCAGTGTTAATAAACACGTCCCGTATGTACGTCGATAATAAAACACGAATTATGGTTACTCGCAGTGTTAATGAGCAATTCTCCATACGTATTATTTTTATATAATACAACTGTGGGTACCCGTATCTATAAAGAAATCACGTGCATAAGTATCCTCTTTGCATAACAACGGTTACGTAATTCAGTGTAAAACTATCACTTTCCGACAGTCCTATTACACAACTGACGTCTGTAAAAGGCACCAAACTCTATGTAATTCTACTGGGCATTCTAACACACATCTGGACTAAATATTTCTTTGAAAACCTTGAACGGCATAAAACAAAACTGCAGATGGAATGCTGAAATGTTCAGTATTGCAAATACTTTTTTTTATGGTGAAACAGTATACTACATACCGATCGTTTGGACAAATCGCATGATGGGACACATACTTAGTTATCGAGGAACTCCTATATGAACTAAAACAGTTTAATATATGAACGTAAAACACTAATTATAAGTTTGAAAAAAAAAGCATTGTCTATATCGACGTCTGAGTAAGTCTTTCCTAATAAGAAATAACAATTCATATATTTATTTTTCATATATTTCAATATTATCCTTGAAAGAATATTTCGTTTCCTCTCTTCTTAATACAACGGTAACAAATGCGGAACTGGCAGAATGTCTACAGATTGATATCCCCTCAATGTGCAAAACAATCAAGAAAAGTGCATGACATAAGTTTTGCGATAATTTTGCAGACGTTAACAGTAAATCATCAAATAAGACATGTAAAATAATATTGCTGTGGGGTATGTACTGTTCCAGGCAGTCCTATTACATACATCGTGTGTTATTTACTATTGTTCCGTGTCAAAAATAACTGGTGCTTTGTCACAAGTGTATCTTGTTGCTGTGTCCACTTTCCATCTTCTTCTATATATGTTTTCTATTACTGCGATAAAGAATGCTCCATTTCATCTTCAGTGATAACTCCGTTTCTTTGTGATTTGTAGATACCGGCTCCGTAGACTTTGAGAGTTTCCTGGACGTTGTGATGAGTCGTGACATTGATGACGAAGACCACGAGAGGGCGCTACGCGAGGCCTTTAAAATGTTTGACAGGGACGGGAATGGCTATATAGACGCAGAGGAATTGCGGCTATGTATGATGAATCTAGGTGAAAAACTAACACAAGACGAGGTAGAAGAAATGATCCGAGAAGTGGATGTCGACTTTGACGGTAGAATGAACTATGAAGGTACACATTCCTTAATTTATATTTAGTATAATATAGTTATTATTGTAGCGGAACT